TGGAATGCATGATTTGATATCATCAATCTTCCCAATAATGACTATTTTCTAGCATGTAATATGAAAGATATTTGCAAGCTTTAAATTCAGTTGAATGCAGATGATTTCATCACTACATAATTCGCTGATGAATAATTCTATAACATAGTGCAGATTCAAATATGGAATTCAATGCTCTCTCATTTCTTTTAAAATAGCATTGAAGACCACGGTTAGGATCAATGTTACTAGTTTATGATCCAGTTTAGGCTCTAACTATCATTTTCATGTATATACATATTTACAGAGGATAAGCTTGTGAGATTTTTTTCTCAGCATAGAGTCAAAGACTCACACTAACGGTGTTAGTTTCATTATCTTGGGGATATGTCACAAAGGCCGGTTAAAATTTTGTCCTCTTTAGCACGTTGAGTTTGCTCTAATTTTGCATTATAGGTTTCAACTGTTTGAGTTGGATCCTCACTCTCATATTTTGAGAGTTTACATGATACCGATACACAAAAAGCTTACATTGTCATTTGTCGCTTGCGCTGGAAAGGATCCAGAACAATCAACTTCAGTGATGTATTTTTTAAGTTTATGATGGATGTGTTACTTTGACTTTGATGGATGACATCCTCTTTTAACATTGAAGACTTTATCTCCATAGCTTTGGGAACCACTCGCAGAAGACGAAACTTTAAGCCATTATGTAGAGTTCACTTTCATCCTCCATACCGCTCGCTAGGTAGCAAGCAAGAGCATTGGTCGAATCCCTTGGATGACGTGTCATCTCATTAAAGTTGAAACCTTATACAACCAAGGTTTCAGGGTCTCCTTGATGATCAGATATCATCACTACACCTGAAATGATGAGAAGTGCTCCACCTCAGAATTCAACATTTATACAAGTTCGTTGAAGAGGAGTCGGAGTGTTCGCTAACTGCTTGACTCGCCATGGAAGGTGGATGCTACATATCGTACATCAATCTAGGATATCTAATAATGTTGATCAAGTCTGCCTAGAGTTGAATCTTGGTCTCAAAGGAGTGATTGATTGATTGATTCCCTCTAGAAGCTAGTTACAGTAAAGTTGGAATTTTAACAACGAAGGGTACACCAACAACAAACCCTTTTCCTTGCTTGCTTGCAGAGCAGAGTACAACTCGTTGCAGGCTTTTACGGAATGGGCCCTTCAATTCTGCTGGACTCTGCAGACTACACAAATGCTGAAGAGGTTACAGGAAGCACGCTGAGAAAATTCCACCGACCTTGTTTCCTTCGAGGTGTTGTTATGCACGCCAATTTACCATCAGGACAACTGTCATCTCTCGTACATACTGAAGTCCTTTCTTCGGTACATACTTGTTGGATTAGCTTGCAGAGATGTGATTGTATTCTATTGTATTTTATGCAAATGGGCAGCTCACATATGCCTTCAATATCTGAGACGTATATACCCTCTTTTCCCTTTGAAGTCATTCCGATAGTCTTCCTGAGCTCACTCCATCCATACCGTCTGAGTCTGATCGACATGTTCCCCATCGCAGTAACTGCAGAGCTTCGAACGGTAACCTCGACGCAGGTCATTGCTTTCAGTTAGACACAGTATAGTATCGTACTTGGAGAGTCCATGAGGCCTCGCTTGCATCGCTCATAAGGATGCCTTGTCCTCTTCCACCATTTCTGTTAAAAGATATGATATGTTTTTTAATATCATGTCACAACAAGGAAACTGATCATTGCATCCGATTCTATGCAGAGAAGAGTCTTTACAAGTTTGTTGCAGACCATTGGTAGACCTGTGATTTGCTGTAAAACTGAACCCAGTAGCATGTGACAGTCATAGCGTTGAGACTATAGACTCATTTTGACAGTCATAGAGTCGGTTATACTAATGGATACGAAAAGACGACCATTCTAGTCCGACGAAATCTAGTAAAATATACGGTCCAAGAATAACCTCTGCACAGTCTTCGAGGTGTTGAGACCTAAAGGTAGAAGTACCGTACCTGTCCTGCAGGCCTGCCTGATCCGAGCAGAACGCTGGCTTTTACTCTTTCGGTTTCACTCAAAAGCTCCAGTCGTACGAATACGGGATTCTTCGATAAACCTCGCGAAATTGTTCATGAATTGGGTCTGCGCACATACACATACACACAATTTTCGGGCATACGATCCACATTTTTCGAGGGTATCCTTGCAAAGGATGTCGGATCCAAGATAATCTCTCGTGCTGATTCGTTGATTTTGCAGGTTACTTGTTTGCCTTTGTTAACTCAAGATCAGCAGTATCTGATTCATGATTGCGCTCTAGCGCTGCAGAGCTGAAATAATGATAATGTAGAGGTATTACTCCAGAATGAGCACGTGACATGGACTGGAATCAGACTGATACGTCAAAGTACCGTTCTGACTGCAAAGCACGTTGTGATTCAGGACGGGTGTCTCTAGATTCCTAGAAAGGTTGCACTTGTCAAATTGGACACGGAGACATGCAGGGCAGTTAAGCAAGCTCACAGTCACTGCAATTACGTACATCTCTCGATGGGTCGTAGTGCATACCGCATGACTTTACTTCACCTTACTTTCTTTCGTGTGTAGAACCATGGGCGGCTCATCATACCGTAACAAACCACACACGCACCAAAACCAGACCGTTCAGAAGATGAGATTTATCCGCAGGCCTTAAATTACAATATGACTGCTCTGCCAATTAAAAATACAGATTGCTATCGAGGTTCAATGCAAGGGATTTGATATACAACGTGCTTTGGTTTGGCCCACAGCTTCTGCATGCAAGCCATCCACTTTGTCGGGATCATAAGAATGGAAGCTCACTACTGTGATACGATGAAATCTCTCCTATCGACAGGAGTTTGTTTATTTGTTCATCCAAAATGTAACACGATGTAGGGCATACGCGTAATTTCGCAACAGATACTCAAACTGAAATGCGAATGACCCAGAACGAGGCAAATTTGCATGTGCAGTTTGGTCTGATTCTGTTTCGGTCCAAGCCATCTACTTCATTAGACCCGTCATTAGAATATATTGACATACGTAAATCCAGTTGAATACAATATTGGAGCTCTACAATATCCACACCATAAATTATGAATCCATCTTAGATACAAAATAAGTTATTGCTTGTGTCAATCAAACACACGTGGTTGAAAAACCAGTTGATTGAATAAGAGGGATGGAATGGAGTATGGATGGGTACCAAGCGAGAAGATAAAGCTAGGCACCTGTACATTGGCCAATATTTTAGAACTGTCTGTATCACCAAAGATCCTCGAGAGAAATAAAAGCAAAGAAAACTACAACCAGTATATATAAATATGCAGCAGATTTAAGTCTCGTACCTTACTACTATACAATATAATTCCTTTCACTGTCTTCTGCATGTTGTACGATTCTTGAATCGTAGATCTTATTCTTCGCCATGAAGACAAAGCCGTATGTACTGCTACTTTGTTGTAGTTGTATGTATAGTTCCATGATTGAGACCGGTATGATTAGGAGAATGATGCTAGTGATTTCTGTCGTCAGCCAAAGAATATATGTTAGGAATATATCTTCATGTAGTTCGCGTATCGCTACACAAGTTCATTACATGTAGCACCTCACGGATTTAGAACAGAATGTCGAGACTTCCCAGTGTACCATTCAGATACTTGATCTAACTGCAGCAATCCTGTAGCCAAGCACTACGGTATTGACGTATGTACTTATATTTGTACACGGCGAGGACCACGGGGAAACAAAAAGAGACTGGATAGAGTATGGTGTTACCACTTCGTGTATGTCTTTACGTCTCCGATGTTAGGACGTGCATCTGCCTTCAAGTATAGTACTGTATGCCAATCAAGTACAGCTTAAAAAAATTAATGTAAGGCGAACGATTCTCCCCTAAAGTACTCTCCTCAAGCAAAAATACATAGATCTTTGAACGTGTTTACATGTTGTAGTACGTACTTACCTTGTCCATGGCATCAAGACCTGAAAGAAAAATGTTGGATCTGAGATCCAGGAGCTCCATTGGAGTATGTATATCTTAGTTAGGATTACAACCAAGAGGTGGAGGAAATCTATGTACAATATGCTATTGCACGAGACTTCAATAAACTGAAGCTATATTATCCTAAAAGTCTTCCTCTCTTTTTCAAGTCAATATTCCAGGCTACTCCGCCAACGAAATAAACATAATAAGGGTTGTATCGCACTATAATATGTCTCTTGCTCGGGCTAAATCAAAATCGACGATTGATCTTCAAATAGTAGATATTCGTTAACATTTCTCTGATACAAAAATAAATAAATTTGCAGGTATAATCATTAACACTAGTTAGACAACAGTTTACTTCCTGCCTATAAGATTTTGATCCACCTTTTTCATTAATGTATATTCCTTCAGTCTGAGAGTATCACTGATTGTTGTATATCCCCACCCCAAACATATACGATCACGTTCTTCGCCTCATTTAGGATAGTTCAAAGAAGTTCTGCCGACCACAACCAGTGTTCACGGGTTCACCCCGTTCCATATTTCAGTGAGACAAACAGAGATTCGTACATACATTTGTCGACCTCCAACGTATGCATTAGCTTGGAAGTCTCGAAAAATCGCAACTCGCTGTCTAAGGTCACTCAACAAAGGCCCGATCACTGTATCGAAGGCAGCCTCCAATATCAAAGATATGGAAAAGATTGCTTCCTTTTGACAATCTGAGCTCCGAGAGTTGTCGAGAGCGAAACCCTAATACACCTTCGTTGTATTCCGTCACTTCCTCGCTCAAGAAGACCACAACTCGTCGAGGGGCACGCAGAATATGCAACTAGTAATTTATGCAGTCGAGCATATTTCCCATAGCGCGGCTACTGGGCCCATTCTAGACGCTTAGCACTAGGCCGGGTCTTCCCATCATTTTGGCTATGTCACTCGCTCGTCCGATTGGAATCTCTGTTCACACATTTGTCTCGTCTGTTTGTTTGTTTGGTTGGTCGCCAACAGATCCGGAATCAGAATTTACGAATCGTTTCGATCTTTTGCATGGCTGATGCCATGTGTCCTCAAATTACGAGACTATTATGAGAAAATGACGGACGTGAGCGAAGGTCAGTAAGGAGAAGGCAATCGCGTCACAACGAAACACAAATGCTCAATGTACCCAAAAGCTCTTGAAACGAACAAAATTGTATTCAGCCGTGCAAATCTGGACTCTATTTCCCTTGCAGATGATCAATGCCAAAGCTCCTAATGTCAACTTCCCTATGTATCTAGCAGCTCGTAACGTATCGCAAGACTTCGGTACTCTAGAATTTTACTCTATTTACAGTGTTTGCAACGCCATCGTAGAGATGGCAGTGAATTACGTCATGTACAGCAAAAACGTGACGTCTTATACATGTCGGAAGTGTGACGACAGATTTCATCTAATCTTTCTGATTTGAACCTGTCATGATTTACGTCGATCGTTCCGTGGGAACAAATGTTGGAGAGGTTCTTAGCTTCTCGTTGCCGCGAGGAGGTCGATGAGAGAGCTTTCCGTTCAGTCTCAGGCAACAAATCGGAAGAGGGCTCCTCCAACATGCGGTCGCTTTTGAGCAAATCCGTCATGGTCTATGGAAAGACAGACGCGTGAGAGCGTGATTAACTCGCACCCACTGCTGTCAAATTCTTCCAGAAACTGCATGTAAGAAAACTGGACCACTGAATCGCCGTCCATATCACAACGTTCTTGCTCGGAAGCACGCAGGAGTCAAGGCGCAAACAGTCGTCCTGAAAGAGAAGAAGCTCTGGAGCAAGAGCCTTGGACCTCCAGGCCTTGAACCGATAGAAGATCCCAGTGGCCTCACCTCAAAACTGTGCATTGAACGGATGACGATCGTTTTCGAATCCGAGGCCGAGAGGAGCATGCGGTCTGGGAGACTGCGGAACACTTCTGTCAAAACTCCTATCGCTTGTATCGAACGAGAAAGGAGATTGTGGCCTGTCGTGGTAGCCGAAAGGCGATTCGGGAATAGCTTCCAGCGCCGGCTTCCACACGTAAGGCTCCAGACTTAGCCTCTCCTGCTTTTCCTTGAGCTTCGTGGCTTGAAAAGCCGCGTCCTCGCCACTGAAATCCAACAGAGGCGATGATCCTTCGTTCAGCGGTCTATCAGAGGGGCCTCCTCGAAGAAGACGAATCAAGCATTCGACCACGGCTTGGAAAGTCGACGCTCTGCGTCGCCGCCGCGTCCTCTTCTTTGCTTTGCCTTCGTTGCTTGCAGCAGAATTGCTCTGATTCTGCTCTGGAGGCGGCAGCTTGAGGAAGCTTTGTTTGTACTGAGCTGGTATGGGGTACAGAACGTAAGCTTGCCCGGGCACAAGCTTTTCTTCGGGATTCATAATGCTGATTTTGCTGCGCTGTCCAAGAGAATGGCCGCTGGTCGAGCAGTGCACCACCATGTAATCCGGATACTGCATCATGAGCTCTGATACCTTCATCCGAGAGTCTAGCTCTTCGACCTTGCCGTCGGGTCGAACCACCCGTACTGCTCGTTTCCCCACCAAGCATATCGCAGCATTTCCCATCGCGCTCGACAGTCCTCACTCTCGGCCTCCTTCACTCTGCAATCGGCACGCCTGGGATAACAATTGTCCACTTCTTTCGGGACCGTGAAAATCTACAGGTTTCCCCTGTCGAGCTGCCTCCAGCAGCAGACCAGAGAACAGCAATCCACTCGTCGAGGTCGATGCAAAATCTGGGAGCAAGAGCACAATTGAACAGTAGGGAGAACGCAGCCAGCTGGGACCGGGACTGTGCCTGCAATAACACTACGCAAAAGAAGTCCCGCGCAGCACAACTACACAACTCCACCGAGTTTCAGAGAGAGACTCGCAAGAAATTCGGGACGCGCGCTGATCGACTCGGAGAAAAGGGCAGCTGGTTGACGATCAGTGAAACTGACAAACATCATACAGGAATGCAACGAATGGCTCAGAAATGAACGTCGATTTTTACAATGCAGCACAATCAGAGAGTCCAATGGAACACGCAGCTCCGATGGCAAAGCAGCGCAATGTTCCAGATCGCGACGAGCAAGAATGAACGGCACCAGCAGCAGCACACTGGAGTCCAATGCAGTCCAAATGCTGGAAGGATTTCAGCAGGAGAGTGGTTCCGATCCCACCACGCTGCCTAAAGCAATGGCAGTAAAAGAATGAGAGAGTTGGAAGATGGAAGATGCTCGTGGGGCACGAGCTCCTACAGGCGTCGAAATCCTCGAGCCATATGAAGAGAGGCCCGCTCGTCGTCGACAATAAGAGCCACTGGCAGCAGCCGCGGGGGAGGCGACCGGTGGAGGCGCGGGAGCGCGGACGGAGTCCCCGGACAGGACTTCGTCGTCGAGGCGGGGCGGGGCTGCAAACGGGACCGGACGAGAGGAGCGCCGGAGCCGGTACGGAGAGTGTCCCGGTAGAGGAGACTGTCGAGTCCTCTTAGTGTTACTGCGGCAACGGGAGCGGCCAGAGCTCTGCCCGACTGCAGAAGGACACGTGGAAGTGGTGGGGGTGGGGTGTCTGCAGAGAACGCGGTCTGAGCGACTGGCCTGCCCGGTCCAGGAGTCATGTATACATATGGACGGTTAGTTGGTGGCATCGATGTCACATGACTCACATCCGGACCGTGTTGTCCAGGTCCCATGGCGGCTCGGGCCTATTGCGCCTTGCCATGCCATGTCATGTCATGCCATCCCTGATCCTCCTTCTCCCCGCGCTGCTCTGTCGTGCCTCGGGCACCGGGCCTCCGGGGCATCCGGGCAGCGGGCCGATTGATTGTACGTCGCTAAAGGGCTGCGTACGCTCTGCGCTGCTCTGTGCCTGTCGTCGCCCTCAGGGGTTGGGACCTATCCCTGTACGCAGTTAACCCGTGCGGAGTTTAATTTCATCTTGTTTTGTTTACAGTGACATGTCGCGACCGGGCAAAGCACAGTACCGCGGACGTGGACCATAACCGTCCCGCCTAGCAGATGAAGACTTCCGCCCCAAGTACAAGTCCGAAATTAGACAAGCGTGTTGTCTCAAGAAATCTCAATCATTCCACAGCCCATTTTGCCAGCGACCCGGTCCTTCTGGCTACCACTTTTTAGTTTACGTAGTAGCACGAAATATCACACTCTGCAATGATATCTACTACGACCCATTTCTTGCAGTTTCAAAGTGGCCGATATAAAACAGAAGGTGGCAACAAAACTTGGAGCTTTAAACAATATGAAACGCTAGATTCATATTGTAGATTCATTTGCAACAGTATTTTCTTCCTTTGAATCATTCATGACATTAACCTGTATCTATGATAGAGCGAGAAAGGCTAGAGGTTGAGTAAATTCATTTGGAACAGGATCATCTTCTTTAATGATTGAACACATAAACTTGTATGTATGATAGAGCGATGAAGCCTTGAGTTTGATTGGATGCGTTTGGAACAGGATCCTTTTCTTTAATTATTGTAAATATATATTTATATATATATATATAAGAGACCCTAAGTTGCTAAATAATTTGAAGTCGAGCGAGGTGGCAATAGGGCTAGTCAAGAATTCTGCAAGTGAAAATAAATCGGACGTTTAGAGTTGTCTATGCCAACAAGAATATGACCCAGCGCCGTCAGAGTTGCGGTACGAGGTTAACGGGATGCGGTTAAGAAGATTAGTCAAACGAGACCACAAGTCTAGTCCGAAATAAAAGCCACGTGTGCTTTATTAAAGCTCCAGGAAGAAGTCAGGGAGCTAATGTTCAGCGGTTGGTGCGTGGAGAAACTACTAAGAACTGCTGAGTTGTCAACCCAGGCCGCTCGGTCCTTCAGTCCCGCAGTCAATCGCTCTACAGGTCCTTAACGACATGTTTAATGTCTTCGCCTCGCTTACGCCGTACAGTAGGTCGTCTGAAAAGCGTGCCTACGACATCCATCTTATCCGACTCACCGCAGCCAGCCAGCCAGCGTGGTCGGTCCTTCCAGGTTCCATACATACGGTCGGTCAAAATGTCTGCGTCTCCCTTTAGATTGCCTTTCCTCGAAGGATTAGTCATAGATTCGAAGAGAGTGGTGCTCTTACGTGAGACTTGTTTTGCTTATTGCTCTGCCCGAACAGGCACGTGAACAGTTTGCCTTCAATTCCATGCGCAGTATGGCGGCAGAGTTTCAGGCCAGGTGTGCTCTGCAAGTACCTTCAGATGTCTATGCCAGCTCGTGCCGCTTGCAGTGGAATGAACCAGATTTAACGTCTACGGGGAATGACTCCATCCTTGCGCTATATTATAAACGGAGGAGAATGTTGCAAAGAAGCACAATATGTAACTATGAAGCAGCAAGGTGAGGTGAAGAGTATGTGGATCTATCGTTGGCCGACGATATATCATCGAGTTATAGCTGTACGTACGATGATAATTTGGACACGATGATGAAGGTGTGAGGTTAACTCGAAATATAGAACAGATCAATGACGATTGTGCGCAATAGTTTGCAACGTGATAGGTTTCATGACTTGCCAATATTTTGATGGTAATCTAATTCGAAGATCTCATACATCAAAATTTGAGTGCAATGTATCTTTCTGGCTCTTTATATATCATTGGTATATTTAGATTTTAAAAAAATTTAAATTTGTTCTTGTTAATTCGTTCAGATCCTCCAATTCGTACATATTCATGTGGAGTTATTGATGCAACATCATTCTTTTTTAAAACATTTTTTTCGAACCCTCAACGATCAAAGATTTGAGCAGTTTGAACCAAAAGCATCTGAAGAACCGATGTAATCGAATAGTGTGAGTCTGCCATGGATATTTTTATAAAAAATTTGAGCCAAATTTCTTGCCCGAGGTCTCTCTATTCATGACCTTCTCGATCACGTTATGGTAGTTCTTTGTCAGCGCGTCATACAATTTGCCCTTCCATTGTTACTAAGACCAGTCAGCCTGCTAAGTTGTTCACGCTATGGGATTGAAAACCTTAGCACTCTGATCCAACGATGACGCATTTGTTTATTGAGGTTCTGACTAAACCCTAATCTTTAGGCTCGGGGCAATGACGCAGTTAGTGAGGTGAAACCGAGATTGAAAAGTATTTCCATTTCCAAGGTAGTATGCTGTTTTGTTTTCTTTTTTTATTAATCTAAGTAGTTATTTATTATGATCGAAAATTAATTTTTCGATCATAGTAAAAAACTACTTCTAGATTTCCATGATTGTTAAGAATGAAATCACCAAAACGAGGGCAGTCGCAACACCGATGAAACTTTCCGTAAAGGCATGTACAGTTGATTGCAGGCTCTGGGTCCTAACTGTGGTTGGAGAAATGTACGTAGGTCTTGCTTTTGGCTCTATTCAATCAGTACAGGAGTGTTTACGACTAGAACTGTAGTTGCTAGACCTGTATGAGATTTGCCAGTAGACTCTGCAAGATCTTGTTTCAGTTGTGCAGTGTCGACCTGTCCTCTTTTCTTTGAGCTTCTCCTTTTCGTCGGCCAAATTTTGTCCATCGGTTTTGCTCTCTTGCGAAGGTCATTCATAACTTATCCAATATTCAATCGAGAAAGTTTGTTTGAGGCATTTCGACATATTGATCTCGCTCAAGCAACATGGAAGTGGTATAATAAGAGAAAGGAGCATATTCCAGACTTCTTTAGTAATAAGGTACATGCATCAGATTTTAAATGCTTTTCGCTATGTTTGATTTGCATTTGTCATAGTTGTCTAGAAAAGACAAGTGGTTTGAACAAAATATCACGTGCAAATTTATTGGATAACCAAGCTCAGGCATTCACGGATATCAGAAGTTTTACTGCTTAGTATTATTAAAATCCCAATAACTTAACTAGAACGATGTACAATAGAATATCGTCAATATGCAACAATCCATCTTAAATTGATAACATACACTATAATTTAGTGTACCTTATCTTATTTTATTATTATATTTTTTTGATTTAAATTGAATGAGAGTTATAGAATGTTGAAGTTAAATCTAGTTAAGTAAATAATTGAGTTTAACTGCATATATAACTATTTATAGTTTAGAGTGGTTGACTACAGTGGGTATATATATCTTGAGAGTGATAATCATCTCACTTGAAACAGTAAATTTTCTCGAGAGTATTCCTCTCGGACATAGCCCCTGAGGGTCAACCACGCTATACTTGTGTATCTGTATTCATTGCGTTGTTGGTTTGCTAGTCTGAGAGATTTAGCGTTACATGGAAACAAGAAAATAGCAAAAGGGGTGTGAAGATTGGGTAACCAGGGACTAAGCCCCAACAGCACACAAACATATTCACTCTTACATCATGTAAGAATTCAAAATATCAAAGTCAGAAGTTTTTAAAAAAACCAGAGATTATGAAGAATCATCATATAGTGTAATTATTATACAATGTATAACACTAGCTTATAATCTGAGTAGAGTTATTGATACATGTTGATCTATTTAAGCTAAACAATACACTATAAGAAGAAATCTCCATGTCACCTCACTTGTTAGGCTCTTGGGCATGGTTGGTATGTAGAAGTCCCCATACTCGGTTTAATATAACTTGAATATTAGAAAACAATTTAGTAATAAAACTAGCCGCCCATCTATAGTGATTGGTAATCACCCCGGCATGTGTATAATGTGTTGTCAAATCAGAGTGAAGTTGGTGGCTTCATTTTTTTCGTGTCCATGATAATGATAAAATCTGACGTTGGCACACCAAGATTTCAACGTAAGAACTTTGTCCGTAAAGATGGAGGCATTTGTGAAACCATAAAAAAGACGGGCCCAAAAATCTCTGTACCTCGAGATGGAAACATGTTCTGTATCGTAGCAGGTGATTTTTTTGATGTTGTCGAGCTCGATAAGACATTGAAACGGTCTTCTCCAGCAGCCAGAAGTATGCAGCAGAGGCAATTCTCAGATTTAATAGACACGGAATCGTCCACCCACATGGTCGCCTGATTTGTCTTCTTAACACCAAAGAAGCCAAATCAGGCGAGCACTGCTGCTGTCATGCTTGGAACATATTGTGAAGAGAATTCAGTGCTCTTCCCCTCACTATCCATTTTGTTTTGTGCTAAGTAGAAGTATGTTTCAGGCTTTGTTAGTCTGAATGAAAAGGCTAGACGAGAAATTTAAGCAAACAAACTTCAAGGCGTGAGCTCTGTGCCACTAGTGCAATGTACAAGTTAACAAAATGATGTTATATTTGGATAATGTCTTTGTCAATTGAGAAAGAATAGACATGTCACTCAATGCAAAGAGCCGAACTGAAGGTGAGGATCAGACAAAGCAAAGGCCACAGAAGGCCAGAGACTTACTACAGAGAACTCGTTCGCGATGTATAGTCCAAGAGTATGCAGTACATCGAGGAAAAGGAGCCTCAATTTCAAGGCCGTCGATGTTGAAACATCACTTTCTACCTACGACTCCAAGCTGAGCCAATTCGAGATCAAGCTTCGATGTCGTGAGATTCAGAACACGTTCTTAGATTTGTTGTGTTGGAGGACACAGCAGAAGTTCGGAGATTTATAATACGTCTCACACCATTGCTTCTGAGAGTAGTACAGTAATCTAAATGTGAAGTCAAATGCGCAACTCAAATCAAGGATCGCCTCTGACAAGATACATGAGCTTGGGAGCTGAAAGAAAAAACAAAAACGATGAGGAGAAATACCGATATTCACAATTTTAAATATTCTTGTTTGGAAAGTGAGAGTCTCACTCAGCTGCTGTGGCTCCCACTGCTGGTAAAGTGATTCTGCTTCCAGTCTTACTGGTTCTGCTCAAAGATGTGGTTCGAGCGGAATCTGGGTTCCACGAGTTGTTCTACACGAGGTGGGAATCTTGCATTAAATCATACCGGCCTATGCTGTTGTTTCGATGTGGTAGCTCTGCAGTTGAAGACGTATGTAAGTACCTTGAGCCACGGCATTGGCTACCAGTAGAGGATGTTCATCAGCTACCCTCGTATCCTAAATGCCTCGAGACAAGCTACGGGAATCTTAGCTTCAAATAATTGTCCAAGACCACCATCAGCGTCAAACCGTAGACCGAAATAAGTAATGCGCAGGGGGTTTCATAGTTTACCCACAACCATATAGAGCAATCTCGTATGATGAGAGAAAAAGCTCTCATCATATGATGCGATCCAGAATATGTAAGATTTGTGGGTTGTATGTAATTTCTACAGCATTTATGGGCCGGAATTTGACATGTTACGATATAATATTGTTCTTTTCAGTCCTGCAGAATAACATCAATCAAATCTGCTGGATTCATCCATAAGGTCCCGATCAATTCAATCTTAGAAAAACTTATGGAAACGAGGAATGAGTGTTTATAGACTTATTCATTTTCGTCCAATACTTGATGGGTCTATATTGAAGCCCTCTGTTGTTACCTTCCTGTATCAGAAGTTTACAATTCTTGTCGACTCTTCATGCTTGTTTACTGAGTCAGTCACAATCTGAGTTCTTAAGATCACGAAATATAGATTGAAAATATTCATCAACTGATATGATGTAATGACGTCAAAATTGAAAGCCGAAAAGAGGATTTCTGTACAAAGGTAGACATGTCCAATAGGACGAATCGTCACCAAACCAGTACCATGCTTTCATTACTCGGTAAACCTCGTGAGCACCATGCTGTGAAAAAGAATTGCAAGAGCTACGTCATCTCAACAGAAGGAGTAAAAACGGGGCTTTGATTCCCAGTAGCGTATAACAGAATACAGAAACTCGTTGCACTTGGTGACGGCAGACTGAAGGTCCGACGGAACAGCCCGGGCCCACAAGGCCTGGCGTCGTCGTCTTCTTCGATGCCTCGTGATCCACGCCGTCGCTCGACAGACATCAGCCGACCGCCATCGAAAGTGGCCCGGAACAACGTCATGTCCAACCACGTACCTCGTGCTGCGTAGCCACGTTCGATGTCGTTTACGGAGCGTCCGATGCCACCGCGTACAGAACGCAGTTCTCGTTTTGGCTCTTCGGGTAATTCAGAACTCGCTGTACCGTGTAAGGAACGATAAAATTGACCCACGGTTAAATTGACTCATCGGCATGGTTTGTAGTTAATCATGTACCTCGTCCAATCCGACACATCGAGCCAAGCCCCCCTTTGAAAGCTTTGAGATGTGTCTCATTTCCGCGGGTAAAATTTGGAATTGAAATCTGCGCGACTTGTGCTAACCTGTTCATACATGGCTTCGAATAGAAAGTGTGTTGGCAAATCATTATGTCACGATTCGTGTAATACTTCCGTTGATACTCATGTGTACACCAAAGACAACCGCTAGAGCGTGCAGTTTGCGTCATTTGCACTGTTGTGAGACCAAGGGCTTGGGGATAGACTTTGGATTCTAAAGATTGAACTTATGTAAATTTTATGTAAATTACAATTATGGTGGAATGAGATCTGCGTGAACCTGGAATCTCTATATCACAAATTATATTTGACTTGATTGAATTGTTACGGTTATCAATTTCACAGTGTACGTTTTTTGAAGAGATTGTGTTGATATATGACATTTTTGTGTGTTGTGATATTTCTTTCAAAAAATTTATGTGTTTTGAAGTATGTGGAAAGTGTTGAAGTGATCAATTAAAGTGAACCAAATTTAAATACAGTCAAGGATTGATGGACAAATAATGTAACACTGCACACGTCTAGTCTGAAAAACACGTCTAGGCTTCCAAGAAAAACACCGAAAACGGAACACTCATAGTTAGGGGCAGTGCATTTGCTCCGAAATGTATGAAATCATCAAATCATCAAATTTTTAAACAAATCATAAACAAAATGTTAAATCTCATATCAAATATAAGAAGGATTTTTTAGATAATAATAATTTTTTTAATGAAACTAATAAATATAGTAAAAACCTATTTTGTATAAATTTCATGACTGGATTTTTCTTTTATAATTAAAAAATAGTATTTTATATTTTCAGAGAGTTGATAGTAATCTGAAAGATTCATATTAAAGATTGTGAATGTATAGCACAAAAATCTTCAAGTTTTGAGAAGTGACTGACAACAGTTTGACTAAACCTCATAACATTTTAATGCATGTTGTTGTTTCAAATGAAATGATAAAAAATTTGATAAATTAATCTTTTGGAAAAGATTAATAATCGAATTGTAAATTGATAATGAATGAAGTCAATAGTTAACTTTTATTTGAAAAAATCAATTATAAATTTAAATAATATTTCAATCATAAAAGAAAATAAAATTTATTTATTAAATTTTAATTTCTAACATTTTATGACACGTATCTCAATAAAATTCTAATGAAATATGCTAAAAGTAAGTTTTAAATCACTATATCATATCCAATAAAATGTAACAATGAATAGATTCAATAAGCGCATAGCTAGTTAGCAGGTTGAGGCCTTGTTCGGAAATAATATTAACGGAATGGTGCATGAAATTAAGCCTACAAATCACTCGACCACCTATGAACAACCATGCACTATTATCCATAAAATCAAAACAAAAGGTAGCTTTAAATCCTTACCATTTCTGTGACTAGTAAATTCCCCGTGTACAATCAAATTAAGCCGCAAGCTCTACTGCTCGTGGTGATGTTTCGTGAATATTCCCACATAATACTTTGATTTCTCTCGGAGGTGACGGTGGAGTCATCACATTAACATTGGCATACCCCTATAATGAGCATCATTTATGGTTGAGACTAGAAAGATATTTAATAGTTTTCGAGACTACAACTTTATTTCTTAAATAGTGAAAACATATTTCACAAGTACCAAAAGATTGTCTTTCATGAATGTAAGAAAGAAAATCAACGTTCCACGCTTTGTTTCAAAGTATAAATAGTACATGACATGTGCACACATTTTAAATGATTTTTTAACTGATTTTCCAAATGTTGTTGGCTTTTCAGCTTTTTTACCCTTATTCTCTGCGCGTTTCTGCGCTTTCATAATTTGGATTATAGAATCGTTTTCACCTTTGATGCTACTCGAGCAAAAATGAATTTGCTCGAGCAAATTCATTTTGGCTGAGTCACCTTTCACATATGGATATCGCTGACACACCCAAAACTCACATTCAAGATAAGCAAAACGCTTTGCATGTGCAAGCATGCGGACTTTCGACATTAATAGATCATGCAATTAATACACTAAATGCGACGACAGGAAAGCTGCCAGTGGAAGAAACCAACGAACATAATCAAACAAGGATCAGTCACGGTCAGTTCTGAATCACCACCCTTTATTTCCGATAGTTACCATCTGAACTGTCAATGGCTGCGGTCCAAGTCTTTATATACAATTGGACAACGTAAAGGAACACACGATGTCGGTTCAGTCGTAACAGATCAATATGAGGCACAACCACTCGATCAAACAATCACCCAAGAATGCCTCCGACATCCATAACCGAGGACAGCTGAGTCTTGCATGGAACCCCATCGTGAGGTAATATCCAGAGCTGGGAATGGAAGCGCGCATCCACCTGGCATTTCACGAAAATAAAAAGAAGGGAGCAAGCGCATTGCAGCGACCGTAGGGGACATGAAGGAAGGCAAAGATTGGACATTCATGCTTGTTGTTAACGTGCATAAACTGAAAGCTAGAATGCAAGGCATGCTTCATCTGCAGAGAATGAGAACCACAAAGCTCGAACCGGAAGCATAACATGATCACGGTCATTTCTTTACAGCATCAATGATGCTTACTTGCAGTCGTTGACAACGACAATATCTACAGAGTTGATACTATCAGAATACAACTGTTGACAATATCGGCATTGTCTACCTTCAGAACCTTCAGAACGATCATCTGTCACAACGAGGATTCCTGACATCTAATGTCCTGGCTAAGATAATCCTCTCGACCGGACAACAGGGGAGATCCATACATTCTCGTCAAAAAACCATTTACGAAGGACATTCATCCACATTTCGTACACGAAGGGGAACATTTTGGATGCACCTCGGCTTAAAGCCGTCACATTCTACTCGTTTAGTATACACAGATGTGCAGAAGTGTACATTTCTGGTTTCCATCAGCATAAAGATGAGCCATCTGAAGGTGCTGTATGAAAACAAAGCTGAAATTCTAGCTGTGTGGGATGAGTGCTTGAATGAAGTTTCGAAGTTGGAAGCTAACAGCGAAACGGCCCCTAAAAAAATTTCTTCATTTCACCCTGTAGAAACCAGGAGCTAACCTTTAATCCAGAGAACGGCTGTCATAATTTCCTGTACGTCGTGATAAGCCAACCCAAAGACATCAATGTTCTTCTCAAGAAGGGCGTATACCTGCTAGAAGTCGTTCTCTCTCATGATCCATGATACACCCTTCTCTGTCTTCACCTTGAAGACTGGACTGGTGCTGTATCGGGAGATGTCCTGTCCCGAAATGCGGCCCAGTCCGGTTGTCTACTCCTCAGCAGTTCTCCAACACATCGTTCTCATCTTGTGGAGGTAAGAGAGACATCAACCCCACCTGCTATCATCCTGGACTCTCAGGACCGTCAGACTCAGACTTCATCCAAGCCTCCCACGGCTTATTGCTCGTACACTCGAGTCAAATGCTCAATTCGTGGAAACTATATTCTACAGAGATTCTGTTTATCCCATTTCAGGGGAGATTTTCTCGAATATTTGAGACCTCCCAGTCAATGCTTCAGACCAAATAAGCTCTCACTCTGCTAGACATTGTGCTTGATCCATGGGTTGAGCACACTGGACCAATGCGTACTTCGTCTCTTTGGGGTTCTTCTGGAGAAGTAGCGCGTGAGAGCTTGGAAGCAGCCTTTCCGAACATTGTGTGTCTACCTTCCAGTAGACCCAGCAAAAACAACCGACACCTCTCCATGTGAACGTTCATCTCGCCAGCCGTAATATGCAAATGTACACAAAAATCCTCCACAAAAAGTCATTCTACAGCCAGAAGGCAATGGCAGACATACTCAGAGTGCCTCCGAGCAATGCCAAGAACGCCATGCACTTCAAATGGATATTGGAACGCATGCGCTCGCTGCGGAAATCCGTAGCGATCAAGTCCACCAAAGCCATGTAAATGAGTATACCAGCAGAGGCGGCATCGAATAACCCTTCCACGATCAATGCTCTAGGCGTGTTGGCTCGATAGCTGGAGGCCACGAACATTCCCGTCACTATTCCAATGGGTGTTGTTACTGCAAAGGCACCCGCCTTTAAGAAAGCAGACCATCCGCCAAAACCAGCCTGCCATTACCCAGAGATTTAAGTCAACAAGATTTCCAGTACAGCAGACACAAAGTAGCCAAGCTTTGAGAGACATATGCATCAGTTAGAAACGCGAGTTGAGTACATAGAAGAAGCTCACCTGCGAAATGCATCCTCCAAGAGCGAAGCCTTCGAAGAGTTGATGGAATGATAAAGCGGCCAGAAGCGGTTTAATGGCACATGGATTCTCCGATACTCCCAGGGAAAGGCCGATTATGAAGGAATGTGCGATGACAGCAACCTCTAGAACCTGTTCACAAGCGAAAAAAGTGTTACACTTTCGAGCATACTACCTCCAGCAAGACATAGTAGATGCATGGCTCATCGTCGAGGTACTCCTAACTGCTAGTTTCCAGAAAGCCAACGAGGATCAGGGGCATGAATGGATAAATCCTTGTCACATTGCTAGTCAACCAGAGAGTTTCTACTATACCCAGCCAACTCCTTTTTAACATACTATGTCCTGACAGACCTCTACTTTACGAGCGTAGTGCTGGACCCTGAAAACCACGAAGACACGGATTGGACACATTCTACAGTCCACTGTTAACTTGCAGGAAGACAGATCGTTACCCTTTCATTCGCACACATCACTGCACCTTCTAGTGAACCATAAAAGGGCCACAAAATGTAGTTAAGAATCAGTTGTTCGAATGCATAAATCAACAATCTTACCTGGGAAATGACTATGTTGTGTATGTGTACTTCAAGATCCTCGACCGTGTTTCGGTTGCCGTTTGCGAGGACCAAGTGATTACCATTGTGACCAGCCTCCTCGTCAGCCCCTCCATTGGGCGTGTGTGTGTGCGATCGTTCTGTATGTTTCTCATGATGCTGGCTACCATTTGTCTTGTGTACAGGCTCAGCAACTGCCAAGCTCGTCGAGCTGTTCTGAAGCAATGGTTCGTGCGTGCTGTCCGAGTCGAGGATGGACTTACGAGTCGGGAGTTTCTCATAATCCTCAGTATGTCCATGGCTGTGAGAATGCTGATTCTCGTAGTACTCCGTGCCGAGCGTTTCAGTGAGCAGAGTCAGAAGAGCAGCAGACATAGCAACGAATCCAGCGAAGGGGAACTGAGACCATGGCCACTGTGGCAAACAGGGATTGGAAAGCGCTTCTTGCGCGTCCGGCAAAATGTGTACAAACCCTGTGGAGAGAATGACTCCAGCTGCAAATGCCTTGGTGACACTGAAGAAATTGCCGTCCAATTTCAGAAATTTGAATCCCATGCCCACAAGAGGAATCGCCACACCAAGTGAACCGGTCAAGAAAACCACGGCGATGGCAATTGTTTTCAAGCTGTAGGCCAAGTCCGGATCGAAACAGCCCATATCCAGTGACTGATTGCACGGCGATATCCTCATGATTGACGTCTTCTGGCAAAGATATCGTCCGATTGGTGGGTGTGTTGACTGTCCTTCAGATGACTATTCTAAACTTCTCACACGTGAACAGAGCAGACTTCAACAGATTTCTGCACAAGTCACCACCCACAACATTACAGCATTAGAACGCGGCAGCCGAAGAGTATCGAAATTGGGAACGTAAGACACCGACAGGCGACGCGTTAGCTGACAATTGCTAAAACCAAAGGCGAACAGCAGAGAAAAAATTGCTCGTTTCTCCTCGGGAAGGGTAACTTCGCAGGACAAATTTTACTACGAGCTTAAGTGACTGATAAAGGAGACGACATCATTTCATTGATCATGGTGGTCAGGCAGAACATATAAGACGAGGACCATAATTGAGCAAGGGACCACTTTCTCCGACGAGAAAGAACATGCTTGCGACTTCGGACTATCGAAAAGCCTTTTACTATGACATAGTGCGAGTTCAAAGTCGAATTCTACCTGAAAAGCATCTCCCAGTCTGTTCGAATACATGTAAAGAATTTCTGCAGGAGTCTCGGTGCTTTCCCGCGAGAAGTCTCCTAAGTCACAGTGTACTGAGTAGACATCCATCGAGGCTCGTTGAGGTAGGCGGCGACGAAAATGTATCTCGTCCTGCGCCAGATGTCTGAAATCCAAAACAGATATCCCCGCGTCCAATGTTCGGGTCAGCAATCCGACGCCCAGCACAAAAGCCTTGAATTGAGCTGCGACGGACTAACGAGAAGCACAAGAGATTTCATCGAATTGAGAGGGTGGCAATTGAGACAGAGCGCGCCAGAGCGAGCTCGGGCGGTAAACCTTTAAGGACCGGACCGGAAAAGAATTAAAAGCTCACAGCGCCGAGATCGTTCGAAAGGAAGCGCGAATTGAGCGGAGGACGGAGAATATAAAGACCTGAAAAAGCCGAATGAGATGCAAGAAACTTGAGAACCCCGTTGATGTTGCGCCAAAACACTCGCCAACGCAGATCTAGACACATTTCCTGTCAGATGGTGCAATTCTGCGCGCAGAAAGCAATATTTTATCCCTTGTCTGAGAAGCACGAACGGAAAATGTCGCCACTCATTGCCCACCCTGAGTCTCGTGGAGCGTGCCGGCGCAGAGTTAACCACATCAATTTCGCACGGATGCTCGGCCCTGTCCTTAGAATTGACAATTGGTCACGATGGGGGCTCTTCTCGGCCGCAGTGGCAACTCGAGTTGTCCTCATTTCCTGAATAAGTAGCTAACCATGGCCGCGCGCTTGCATCCTTCGTCACGTCATTGGGCCTCGGCATCAGAGCCCCCGAACCAACACCATGTCAACACCCGCTACTATGTCGACACCCGCGTCCCATTCACCCCCACCCCCCGCCTGTCCCACTCCCCGCATTAGCCCCGCTACTGCCCCTCCCTCATTACCACATTCCTCCCCTGTTCCCACTTCTGCCGCTCCCCCGCCTGTCACCGCGAGCCCCTCCCCCCTTCCCCTCCCCCGTCCCCTCCCCTTCCCCCCACGGGACTCTTCCTGTCCGAGTCCCATCCCTCGGCCTACCCAGACATGTCCCGATCGCCGAGTCCCTCCCGATGTACGGCGTACTACTGTGGTCGGATAGGCGACATGTTGTAGTGACTGTAGTTGCGGTAGACAACGCAGGCTCTCACGTGGTCCGTGTCTCGCCTCGGTGCCCGGGTTTCGGGGGCCCGCTGGATGGCCAGGGCGAGAAATCGCGGGCGCCCGTCCACCCCTCTCCGGTCCTTCGTAGACTCATGGTTCGCGGATGCCGGTACAGGAGGTAGATTCGATGGAGGAGAAAACAAGGAAACCGGTTGTGCACTCCGTCGGAACCGGCTCTGTTTCGTACAGTATAGCAATTGGTTGACCGAGGGTACACCCGGAGCGCCCCTTTCGGAGTCGGACGGTCTGGGAAGTTGGGATCCCGGGACGCCCGAAATTGCGGGTAACGACGAGCCCATGATGGTAAGCCCATTGCGGAATCTTGCGGTCAAAGGAACACCGATTTTTGGCTCGTAGCTCCGGATTTTGTCTTTTTCGTAAGGGAGGAAAAGATTTACTCGACCGAAGTATTCAGTAAACCCAGCCACGCTTCTTGTTTTACGTGGAACTGGATAAGCCCTTTTCCGTTTCGGGGCTGTGTCGTATATCACAGAAGAATGTGTACAGTACTCCGTATCTCCTACCGTATTACTCTACACACTTACCGCACTGCCACCTTGACATTGACGGGCTTCAGCTGAAGCAGCTCTCCCCAGTTACCTTCTCCTCCTCCTCCTGCTGCAGCACTTCTCCCATCGATCTCTGCGTAGCGTAAAGTCAAAACGACGGCCCGTGACTTACTCACTTGAAGGGAACATCGATCGAAACCATTACATAATAAATTCCCTTCGCTCGCTAGACATGTGACCGACATGTCTTGCACTAACCCCTAAACCCGAGGAGTCTTAGGAAAACGTCTCCCATAACCTCGAAGTCAGTCATTCATCGCCGAAATGGGACGTTAAGTTGATAGATATAGGCAGACAATGTGAAATAAAACCGACGTTAATACACTTTTCATCGAAAGAAGTTGGATCTCGAATCGCACGGAGTGATCGCAACTCCACGTTTGGATGTGGCAGTGTGTACGCATACTCCCATGAACAGCCGTGAAAGCCTACGACTCACGTAAACGCAAATCTGAGCCGCGGGACCTCGTCTCGATGCACCACCAGTACGTAAGAAGGTCTACGATTCCTTTTAATGCTCTCTATTATTCGCGCTTTTAATTCATTACCGGAGTAACAATCTCTTTTCAAGTTCAAAGAGAGAAGAAGGGCCGGTGCTTGGAACTTTATTGACAATGACACTCTCATGTCCTTGTGACCGGTGACTACCAGTCTCCGCCGCAGTAATGACTCCACCAACTGAACCGTCCAAGCCGGTCAAACCATTTAAATCCTCACATGACTTCTGTACCGATGGCCGTCCTCAACCGGCAACCTTCATGGCTGCCGTTAGATTCTCAGTTCCATTGAACTAACACGGTAAATTTACTATCGTACAGAAGGACGGGAGAAGTCGGTCACCTTCACTATCACCATCAATTTGGTAACATCCGAATGTCGCCCCGACCACTGTAGGATGAGAATGCATTGACTGACGTGGTCACTTTGAGGAAAATTGGTCGCAAACTCAACTGCGCTGCTGGCAATGTTCTACAGACCACAACAAAAGTCCACTGAGCTATTATAAGCATGCAAGCGAAGGCACGGGTACAGTTGTTCCCGTCATTTCTGTTTCTACAGAAACAATGTGACGCCATTCTGCCAATCCGGCTAAGTACAGTACAGGGGAGCACATTGTGCCACCACACGTATTTTTTTCTCCTTCGAAACCGATCGTTTGAGGTATTTTTATGTTATCCAGAATGTGTCCAGAACAAGATACAACTTCGTCGCTTGTATTTAATCTGTTTTTTAAGACCTCATGCGTCGACAGCCCGATGATGTCCCCGATCCAAATCAGGAAACACGAAATGTGACAGCGGACTTTCTGCTTGCTACGAGAACAGGGTTTTTCCATGTAGCATTTGTGTAATAGGCAGATTGTATATCTCATTTATGATCGAAGCCAAACTTTACATGGTCAATCCAAAAGTAGGTTGCCACTGATTTTTAACTTGAAGACATGTTGGTTTCATCCCTGTAGTGGGCTTGATCGAATGTTCCTTGTTCATTCGCTCCTCGTGGTTATAGATTGATGAAGGATGGCATGATAGATGTTCTGCCTCATTGCTCCCAATCTCTTGTTGTACCTCCGAGGTTGAAACATGTCGACATTGAGTGGCATAGGACATTGACTAAATTTGGAGACATGTTTTGCTACCCCACTGGCTTTGCCTTGCAGTACCTCAGATACTGGAAAGGGCCTCTATCACATATTCAGACTCCTTGTTAACTTGAGCAAGGAAGTTCTCTTCTGCTTCGTCTGTTGCTTGCTTGTGGCCTACATAAGAATAAGTACTGTTTCAAACCAAAGTGAATGAATGTCGGGAAGACACGTTTATACATTCTGGATTCTTGTTCCAGTTCCACACTTGCAATGGGAAAATTGCAAACTGCTCATACAGGGATTGCTCCGTACAAAAACAACATTCATTAAAATATCCCGTCGAGATTTAAGGGAAACAAATCAGTATGGGTAACTTAGGCGAAGCTCCAATAGCATAACAATGGAAACATATCTCCTACAATAGATACAGTACATGGAATTTAAGATGAAGTTGCAAAATATCATCATAATAGAGTTATAATTTTTGAAACAGAAAATCAAAAACATCGATTATTATTTATATTCCGATGTGATCACATCCTTGTAGCGATGAATACTATCATAGCAAGATAGTATTCATCGCTCTATACAATTTCCAAAAAATCAAGAAAAGTTGATTTTTGTGCGTATATTTACGTTTTCATACATTTGTCACTTCATCCAAAACTCAGAAATATTCATTAATTTTCATTGTTCTAAATTTATTTTTTATTTAGGATTGACATTCATCCATCTGGTATATGCATATGAATCAATTGATAGCAAAATATGATTTAATCCAAATTTATGATATTGTGCTCAATGATAGATCAATATACACTTTGAGTTTTACTAGTTTATTTTTCACTTTATTTCAAAGAATAAATTTTATTCTGAAATTTTAATTTCTCACTTCAAAATTTTTCAATATTTGAATCTATATCAATCATTTGTGATTTTCTAAAAACTATTATAAAAAATTGCATTCAGTTTTATTCTTCAAAAATATATTTTTTCTGTTTTATTTTTTACACATAATTCATCATAATTCTATGATGATAAAAAAATTGTGCTTGAGTTAGTTATTACAATTTATGCGTATTTTAAAGAATTTTTTTATATGTGTGTTAGCAATCTGAATGATCATATTTTATTTCTAAATAAGATAAAAACTCAAATTTATTTATATTTATATTTTTTTATTTCATCAAAAAAAATTTATAACTCAAATAAATGAATTTCACATATTTTTTCTTCGATTATAATTTTTTAAATAAACTTGATTTTTATTCAAATTTTCAAGTGATTGCAATCATTTTGAAGAAGACATGTTTAATTGACATAAAAATAAAAAAAATTGATTCATTGGAATTGAAATTCTCAATTAGTGATTTTTAAATTCATCACAACAGATTGAAAATTTCTGTAATTTTATTTATAATTTAAACGCTTTGATATTTTCAATCAATATATGTAATTTTGATAAAAATCCTCAAATAATCAATTAAAAATAAAATTATCCATCAAAATAAAATAAGGATTTTAGCAACATACTTTACAAAAATAAGTCATTAATTTTAAATGTCAAAAGTAAGAAAATGACAACATTTCAATATATTTAATATGAAGTTATAAGTCAGCACATTTAATTTGATAAGTAAAAATAAAATCAAGATTGAATAGAAAATCTAAATTGACACTTTGTTGATACAGATATAAGAATAATTTTCATAACCTGTATTTATTTCATTTTTTCAGAGGTGTGATACCATTTGAATAATATTTATATAGCTTACAATTCAATGTTGTATTCATTTGAAATTATGATTTGATTTGATGATTTTTAAAGGGCACTTGATGACTAGAAGTTTATTCATTTCATTTGAATCTTTAATTATCAATGACTGTCATAGAATTAATTGTAGATTCAAAAATTTGTTGATAAGTTTGTTTAATTAAATTTGGATAATAGCAAATAAGGTTCAAAAAAAATTAAAGTAAGTTTCATTGTTCTGCATATTGTATGATTGGAAAATATGGTAGAAGTCTTTGCACATAAGATTTAATGTAATCAATGGAAAAGTAAAAAAAGTGTATGAGTTTTGTATGTGAGTCTTATAGAAAAGTTAACTATTCAGTTTTTATATATTACAATGTGAGATATTACATTAATTGCAATCCACACAAGACTCTGAAAAGAAGAAAATATTGTCATTTGACACGGAACAAAAAATATACTGTATCATCATGCTCTGATACGTTGTGAGAGCAAAATGACCTTCCATGCTGGGGAGTGAAAACAAGATTGCTCTTTGAGGCTTAACTGCAAATTTGAATGTGAAAAATACTTAACCACCTGGAATAACAAATTTTCCCGCTTTTTACCTTTAGTCCTTTCAATTCACAACAACACAAACTGAATTTTCTCCTTTCTATGTCGTAAAAGTTGATCACAGTTGTACGAAGAATAGAATTGGCACAATCAGATCAGAAATCGTGGATGTCGACATTTATCTCGGCTTAAACAGGACACTGCTGATCTCAACGATGTTCAGGTTATGTC